GATTTGGTGATGGGAAACCCGTGGGGATTACAATTGAGATGAAAAAAAAAATGTGAAAAATGATGTAAAAATAAACTTTTTAATAAAAAAAAAATTGATGATGTTAGGCTAGAACACCTAGTGCCATAAATTTTGTTGTCATATTGTCTTTTTACTACTTTCCCCCAGCCTGAGAAAACCTGAGTTTTCTTTCCACAGTTTATTAACATAGCTATGAGAAAAAGGGAGTTAAAAATCCCAAAGAAAAGGGAGTCACAGACCTTGAGACTAAAGCTGTTCCACCTGGAGCTGCAGGGAAAATGCCTCCATGAGATATTCTCCTTCAAAGAAATGGTCATGAGCCCTACACTACTAAAAAGCTGCAACTGACTGGTGTCCACAACTAGCAACAGTAAGTAGACTTTAGCCAAACCCTCTCTCCTTATTTTCCCAGATGACAAGGTTTAATTCCTTGGTTTTTAAACGTCATTCCTAAAACTTAAACACTTAGCCCCAGTAATATGCAAGTCTCTCTCATGTCCAGCGAAGTTTCCTTGGAGTTTTCTTTCCTTGCTCTTTTGCTAATCAATGAATGCTGGACTTCTTGTCTGCCCTCACTGGTATCTATAGAGTCCTATTTTCAGTCTTCACTGGAGAGTCTCCAGAGCCCTTTCCTGACCTGGGAGTCGGACCCCTAGATTCATTCCTCTGGCTCCCAGTGGGCAGAACAGTGGACAGTGGCTGGTATGCTCCCAGCTTATCCACTTGTATGGCAGGAGACGTTGGGATTAGGCTGAGGGGTCATGGGCCCTCTCCCCTGTCTGGTGACATTTTCTTTAGCTAAAATGGGAAATAAGTAAAATTAGTATTTGGTGACCTATTCACATCCCTTCTTTTTTTAGTCTTTCCTCTATCCATCAGAGGTTTCCTATGCTTAATTTTTATTCTTATGTAGTTATCAATGAATCTGTTAAAAAGTTTAGTGATAATAGTTTAGGACAGAAGTCTTGTGAGAGTACTTTTAAAAGAGGACTAAAATAAGCGTTGAAGCTCCTGGTATAAACCTATAAAGACAGAGTAATAGTGGGGTTAAAATTCTGGACTAGAGTTTGTCATAGTATCGGTGATAAAGAGAAGAATGGCATGTGCATTTTCAGGCATAGAACACAGTAGAGTATGAGAGCTAATCTTATGTCTATCTCTTCCTATTCCTTCAAAGATTGATTAGTTCTGCTGCCAACAGTCCAAGTTTCAGAAAAATATCCTACCATGTTGTCTCAATCCTTGGTTTTTGATATCATGGCAATTTCTTTAGGGGGTGAATTACATGGTTGAATAATTTCTCTGAAAAAACTCCAGTTAGTCTTTTGGCTTGCAAATGAAGTCAACCAACTGTAAGGTGGCTGAACTTTTTAGGTATTCATCCATTTGGAGGAAGTAAAGTAAACTAACTGCATCATTTTGAAGCTCTGGGATTCTACTGACATGTAGACAAATATGTGAAAGGATACCCATTAATCAAAGAAAATGAAGGAAAAGATAAAACAGCCGGGGTTACACCAAACTTCTATACAGCAAAGGAGATAATAACCAAAACAAAGAGATGCCCTACTGCTTGGGAGAAAATATTTTACACTCCATACAACTAATAAAAGACTGATTTCAAAGATCTACAAAGAGCACAACTGACTCAACAAAAACAAAGCAAACAATCTGGTCAAAAAATGGGCACAAGCGCTAAGACGCTTCTCCAAAGAAGAAATGTAAACAGCCAACAGCATAGCAGCAAATGCTCAACATTACTTATGATCAGGGTAAGTAACACAAATCAAAACCACAGTGAGATGTCACCCCACACAGTGAGGATGGCCCTATCAAAAAAAAACTGGCAACAACAAATACTGGTGAGGATGTGGAAAAAGAGAAACTTTCTTACACTGCTGGTGGGAATGCAAACTGGTCCAACCACTATGGAAAGCTGTTTGGGAGACCTCAAACTACCAAAAATGTGTCTACCATTTGACTCAGCAATTCCATTCCGAGGAATCTACTCAAAGGTCATGAAAACATTAATTTAAAAGGAAATCTGTATTCCTATGTTTACTGCAGCGCTATTGACAACAGCTAAGATATGGAAACAACCCAAAACAGATGACTGGATCAAAAAATGTGTTCTCTATACACACAGAATACTATTCAGTAAACAAAAAAGATAAACGCATACTGTTACAGGGCAGGGAGAGAGGGGCACCCCTGAACTCCCAAACCTCTAAATAGGTTCTGCCACCCGCCACATCAAGACAAAACATATAAGACTTTAATGAAAAGGAACTTTAATACAGTGAGTATACAATACAGAAGACAATATAATTTCTAAATCAAACACTGAAGTGACCCATCCCGTCGTGGGCAAAAGTCAACCCAAAAGGGATTGGTCCAAAGCAAGGTCTGAAAGCCCACCAAGAAACTAAAGCACCTTCTGGCCAGGACCCGTAGAGATGGGTCAGAAATGGCCAGACAAGTCTGGTAGGAAAAGAGCAAAGTCAAAATCAACAGATACACTGCCTCATGGGTCTCACCCACATTGCCTTCTGCATATGCTGAAACCTTAAGACTATCTTTTAAGACTGTACCCTAAAATCTGTGTCACCACAGATATGGTGAAAGCCCACCAAGGCTTTCATCAAAAGGGGGGATTGTAACAGGGTGGTCCCTAGGAAAAGGGGAAGTTCCAGGTTCCCTGTCCCACCCTGAAGAAGGGTGGAGCTGAGCAGAGAAAAAGAGAGAAGAGAAGGAATCTGAAGAAGGAGGCAGCAGGATAGCGAGCCAGAAGGAAACCTAAGGAAGCCACATGGAGCAGCAAGCATGTGATGAAGAAACCGTGTTTATTTCTTGGTCCTGGACTGGTTGAAAGTGATGTGGATGAGAGACCCGTGGGGAGGTTGACTAGGGTAGTGTTTCTATTGATTTTGATTTTGCTCTTTTCCTCCCAGACTTGTCTGGCTATTTCTGACCCTTTTCTATGGGTCCTGGCCAGAAGGTACTTTAGTCTCTTGGCGGGTTTTCAGCCTTGCTTTGGATCAATTCCTTTTGGGTTGACTTTTGCCCACAAGGGGATGGGTAACTTCAGGTGTTTGATTTAGAAATTATATTCTTTGTCTTCTGTATTGTATACTCACTGTATTAAAGTTCCTTTTCATTAAAGTCTTATATGTTTTGTCTTGATGTGGCAGGTGGCAGAACCTATTTAGAGCAGGCAGGTTTGGGGGTTCAGTGGTGCCCCTCTCTCCCTGCCCTGTAATAATACCATTTGCAGCAACCTAAATGGAGCTGGAAAGGATTATACTCAGTGAAATAAGTCAGAAGGAAAGAGAAAAAAAAAAATTGGATAGTTTCACATATAAGAGGAACATAGGGAAACCAAATAAGAGATCAGGAAAAAAAATAAAGACAAAACAAGCAGGCAAACAATAAATCGGTGACCTTCACCTGAGGAGGAAAAGGGAGAAGGATCAAAATGGGAGGAAAAGCACAAGGGATTATAGTGATGGTTCATGGGTGTTTTAGTGGTGGTAATTTTATAGGGATTATATACCTGAAAGGAGAATGAACAACAATGTAAAAAAATATATAATTTTGGCCCTCCCTGGTGGCGCAGCGGGTTAAAGCACAGCACTGAGAAGCTAAAGCCACTTCCGCATGAGTTCAATTCCCGCCTGCCCCGGAGGTGACCACATGGCGAGCCAGACCTCTCCTGACCCGCCCGCTGCTCCCCTCAGCAGGGGACTTGTCGATCTGCCTGTTCTGCTCCTCACTCTGTCTCTGGTGAATCCTCTCACCCTCTGCATCTCTGGTCTGTACCCCAGTTCTGTATGAACAAATAAATAAATCTTAAAAAAAAAAAAAAGTGTTTAAAATATATATATAATTTTTTAAAATTGTTTTTAAAGGGGTGCTCTAAAGCTTCTAACAAATTTGTGTTTCTCTCCTATACTTTTTCAAACTGCTAAAAACCTCTCATCCCTGCTCGATTTATATCCCCGAGGCCACGTTTCGGAGGCCTCTCCCTTTTTTGTGAGTGTCCATTCCAGCCCAACTTTGGGTCAGAGTCCAGCCAGTTTTATCTTTACTTTCCCTACCTCTAGTGATTTGGAGGCAGGCTTGGGACTCTCCTGGGTTTCTCAGCAAAATAAAGGAAACAATAAGGATATACCTCCACCTTGCCTCTCTCCCAAATATTACAACACCTCTGCAGACAGTTAGAAATGTAACATTTTTGTATATTTATTATATAACCTGTAACTTTACTGGATTTGTTTATTTTTTCCTAACATTTTTGGTAAGTCTTTAGGATTTTCTGTTTAATATGCCATCTGTAAATAGTGACAGTTTTTACCTTTTCTAATTTAAATACCTCTTACTTTCTTGCCTAATTATTCTGTCTGGAACCTTCTAGTACTATGTCAAATAGTAATGGTAAGAGCGGGTATCCTTGTTTTGTTCCTGCTCTTAGCAGAAGTCTTTAGTTTTCCATCATTCAAAATGATGTCAGCTACTGGCCTACTGTTCTTAACTATCAGTTCTGAATAAAACTTACCTGGGGAGATGTGTTCTGTCCACTCTGGTTGTGTTTTAGTCTCAGTTCTTTGTACAGATACCAGATGTAATTGACAGTGTAGAAAAATGAGGATATGTAGAATATCTATGTAAAAAATCAAAACAAATCATTTTAATTCTCCATCCTTCCACTTATTCCATATTTTTTTCCTACAATAAGAATCCTACCAACTGGTCGATTAGTAGCTTACCATGGACTATCTATACCATGAAAAACTGGATCAAATCAAGAATTCTATCAAAGCCTACTTAAAACATGCAGTTTGCTTATTTTATCCTTTTCAATATTCTCAGAAACTGCAGCATTATCCACTTCCTATCAAACAGCTTATTCACTGAAAAGTACAAAATATTGCAGAAAAATATTTAAGACTTTAAGCTAATGACCAAAATATACCCTGTTCGAAGCTTAGCAGACTAAATATTGTTAAGCTGTCACTCAAAATTGAACATGCATGTATTTCTTCCTATTATACACTCATTTGGCATAATTCCTTTGGAACTCTGGGTTTGTCAGAAAAGTCATGATGTGTTTGCAACAGATGCACTAACTCATTTTTGGAAGTATTAGAGTAATTTTCACCTATGTCATGGGAGTCATTTGGTTGAATTTTGGAAGTTTTACAAGTTGAAGATGAAAGACTAAACTGCATTTTCACTATTTTACTGTTTTATTTCCATAAAGACAAAAAATGCACATCAAGCTTGTGAAAGTTGTATAAAGTTTACGGTTACAAAGTTCTACAAGAAAGTCAGTGCTAACAATGGCTCACAAAATTCTGTGCTGTTGATTTTCATGTCAACAATGCTCCTTGGTGTGGGAGACCCATTGAGGTTAATGAGACAGAGCGGGGGCAGATCTACTGAAATACACTGCTGAGGGAGCAGCAGGCAAGACAGGAGAGGTCTGCACCATGTGGGTTACCTTCCAGCCCTGGGATTGAAATTGTGCTGCAGTGGCTGGGGATCACTTCATAGTGCTGAGACTTAGCGCCTTGTGCTACCAGAGAGGCCCAGTACCAAATGTTTAGCAGATAGATGCTATCTGTCTCCCCGCTCTGTCTCTGGTAAATCCTCTCACCCACTGCACCGTGGCCTACACCCAGTGATTGTATGCATTTAAAAAAATCTTAATTTATTGACTTTATGTGACAATGGCTTTAGGTGAAAATTCTATTAGATGTCATATTCTTGCCAAGTGCCTTGACTATTATTAAGACCTCTGAACATCTAAACTTTATTCCCTAGAAGCTAAGTGAAGCCATAGACAACCTCCTCTCATGGTCCAAAAGGATGTTTCCCTAGATGATAACTTGGAGAAATTGGTTAAAGATGCTCAACAAATATGTCCAGTAAAGGAAAAACAATATTGAAAATCAAACAACTATTAACTCAATAGTAAACAACTCTGGTTTGCCAAATAATAATCCAGGCTTAGCAGAAATTCTAAGATTCCTATTACTTACCACCATACATACAGTAAGCCACTGTCCTGCGGACAAAACAATCTTCAAGAACCAATATTGGCGGGGAAAATATTAATAAGGCCACAAAAAATATCTACTTCACTTGTCCAGCCTGTTCAAAATAGAAAACCCATTTCCATTGCACTAGGATACTAGTGGTACTAAATGTACCATTTAGAGTGTGGTAAATGGATTTTATATAGCATCCATGTCTTCTGTCTAAAAATTCCGTAGGCTGAAATAATGATCCCAGTGATTAGTGATAGAATTTATCAACAATCAAAGTGAGGGTACTAAACCCACGATGTCTGACAGGTTTAACTGAGAGAACTACTCTGCCAGTCACAAGTTTGAAATAGAAATTTAGGAAAGATGGCAATAGTTGTTTTTTTATGTCAAAAGTACAGTAATCAAAACATCAATTTTTGAGAAAGATTTCTGGTTTTCATGCACAGGTTTTGAAGTGTCAAACGTTCCCAGCTTTTCTAAGTTAGAGACTATTGTCTCTACATTGAGGGAAGGTAGACATCAGAGTAGTTAAACATTATCCTAACTCTGCTTACAAGATTCTTGGTTGAGTACTCATTATCTCGATCTTCCTATAATTGTCGTATGGTCAGCAACAGACGTCAATAGGTTGTTGATATCATTTCCTCAGAGGCATATGAAATTTTCTGCATGACTTCTTCACAGAACAAGTTTAGCCAGTTCTGACTCTTAATGTAGTGACTCTGAACTTTTTTTCAGCCTGTTAGATCACAGAGAGGGGCCCCAGTGAAATCTTAGTTCTCAATATGATTTAGTCATGGTTTGTATATTTTTTAACCCGAAGACAGGTACTGCTTCTATTGTGGCTAAAATTTTATTAGAAAAGGTGATTCCTGGCCCTCCCTGTGTCACAATAGGTTAAAATGCAGCACTGCAAGAGAGCTGAAGCCAATTCTATGAAAGTTCAATCCCCAGCCCGGAGGTGATCCACATGGCGTAGACCTCTACTGTCTGGCCCGCTGCTCCCCTCAGCAGTGTACTTTGTCAATCTGCCTGTTCTGCTCCCCACTCTGTCTCTGATGAATCCTCTCACCGCCCCTACATCTCTGGCCTGCATCCCAGTTCTGTATGCATAAATAAATAAATCTTTAAAAAAGAAAAGGTGATCCCTACCTGGTAAACCCTCTCAAGCTTCACAGTTATTGAGAAACCCATTTTACTAGCTAGGTGCTTCAACTAATCTACACTGTTTGGCCACTTCTGCGGCACTGTCATTGTGCTCACTTACCATGTTCAGGGATAGTCAAAAGCACTAACGGCACTACTGAGACTAAAGTGACAAAACCTATAGAAACCCTCTAAAATGCTTTGGCCAAAAGTTTTCCTGTTGATCCTTCTGAATTCTCAGATTCATGCTTCTTATAACTCATAAAATCAACTTTTGATCATATGATGTACAATGCACTTGGCCCTGTTTCTTTTGATTCAGTTAACAAAAGCAGATCCACTTCAATGTTGTAGAAATCTAACTGGCTTCTATTAAAAATAACCATGTCTTGGTAGAACAACCATGGGAGATTAATGCCTTGAACATTATATATTGCACCTGTAGATTTCATCTATTGGAAAAGGCATCTCCACAGACTCTCTTCAATATCACAGGAATGGCAATGTTAGGTACTACTAACCAACCCTGTGCCATCCAACTGTAGAAAACAAACTCTCAGATTTGCAAGTCACATCTAAAATGAATTAAACTTTAACTAGACAAGCATACCATCTGGAAGTCTGAAAACTGAAGTAGGTATCTGCTAAGATGGCTTTTCTAGGATATCCCAAGACACAAGGCCTGGATATCATTTCTCACTGTTTTCATAAAAGACAATGTCCTTGTCCTTATTTCTCAATCCCTTGTGAAAAGGAAACCTTGCTTTCATTATGGCCTTTTGGAAACAGCCTCATTATAATCCTATAATTAATCTTTTCACTTGCTTCTTGAAGGGTTAGAAGGTTTAGTACTCACAAAAACCTTTCTTTTATTTAGATTAACTGACTGAATTCTTATCCAAGTTGATGCTCTTTGAATTCACAACCTTTCAGGTTGTGTTTACTAGATAACATTTGGTTCCAAACAGTTCTTTTAAATAGCAATAATGTTTTACTACATCTTTGAAGTTTTGCTATTTTTGCAAAGAGCTTATCAGCGACTACTATATATTTATCCCTACGATGTCTTCCAAATGCAGTCTATTAAATTTTCTATATTCACTGATCTATAATCTACAATGTACTCATTAAAATATTAGCACAACACTCAAAGATATCTCCGATGTCTACAACCTCGAGAAGATATGCAATTTACATGGGAAGTACCTAAAAGCTGTCCCTCTTACCCCTACTTTTTGCTCAGATGTGGCCTCAATAGGTTTCCAATCTGGACACATTCCCTCTGATGTTAGATACAACACCAATAATTAGGCATAGTTTCTCCTGGTAGTGCAAGACAAAAGTCACTGAAATTAAAAACCTTATTCTTGGTCAGCAATGCTTTTAGAGAAAGATCTTAAGCAAAAGGGGGAAATGAATAAAAGAAATTTCATTTAAATAAAAGTCAGGAGGCCCGAGGAGGAACTCTCACACTACCACTCATTCAGATACTATAGATTCTACAGATATTAATAGGAAGAATCACCAGTTACAGAAATCAACAAAAAGAGTAACCTTCGACTTTTTCCATTCCTAACATTTCAGTCAGTGAGAGATCATCACTGTCACTCTGAACTCTCCCTTTCAATACTGTACTTTGTTATTTTTTATTACTATTTTTTAAATAATAGTTCATTTTTATATCATTTTGTGCCTTTTGCCTTCTCACTTATAATCCCCGGTGGACTTCCCCCCACCAATTCACCCATGTGCCATCACCATAGTCTCATGCATTTTCCCCCCACCATTTCTGATCCCATTTCCCACTCCACCCCCATAAAATATCTCTGGTATAAAGTTGTTCATTATTATTATTATTATTATTACTCCCCTGCCCGCCCCCGGCACCAGTCCTTTATGCTCCTGCTATGAGTGAAACCATCTGCTATTTTTCTTTTTCTTTCTGGCTTACTTCACTAAGAATCATCCCTTCCAGCTCCATCCATGTTGCTGCAAAAGGCACGAATTTGTCTTTTTGATTGCTGAGTAATATTTCATTGTTTATATGTACCACATCTTTTTAATCCAGTCATCTACTTTTGGGCATTTGGGTTGATTTCATCTTTCCTATAAAAATAAAGCAGCGATAAACAAGGGAGTACAGGTGTCTTTTTGCGTCTGTTGGGTGAAGACGTAGGAGTGGGATTGCTGGCTCATATAGAAGCTCCAGTTTGAACAGTTTGAGAAACCTCCAAATAGCTTTGTATAGTGGTTGTACTAGTTTACATCCCCACCAGCAGTGCAGGAGAGTTCCTTTTTCTCCACATCCTCGCCAACATTTGTTGTTGTTAGTTGTTTGAAGATGTGTCATTCTCACTGGGGTGAGGTGGTATCTCATTGTGGTTTTAATTTGCATCTCCCTTATTACAACTGATGCTGAACATTTTTTCATATGCTTGTTGGCCATCTGCAATTCCTCTTTGAAAAAGTGTCTTTTTAGCTCTTCTGCCCATTTTTTGATGGGGTTGTTCACTTTATTTTTGTTGAGTTTCATCAATTCTTTGTGATCAATCCTTTATTGTTAGTATTGTATGAGAAAATTTTTCCCCAATCATTAGGACATCTGTCTGTTTTCTGTAATGTCTCTTTTGCTGTACAGAAGCTCTTTAACTTGATGTAGTCCCAGATGTTTATCCTTTCTGTCACTTGCATTGTGTTGCGTTTAACGATGGACTTTTTGTCCAAAACTTCTTCAAACGTCCTCTATCTTATAAAATAATATGACCCCCCTCTAATTACTGGATTTGCAACAGCATTTTCCTATAATGTATTTTTCTGACTTGCAATTTCATTACTATTCACAAATAAGCTCATTTGTTAGTAAAAATTAATGACTATTATATTTTTTAGGTCAAAAACACATACACACAGGGCCTCCCTGGTGGCACAGGGTTTAAAGTCTCAGCACTATCAAGTTATCATGATGCTGACCAGGAAGCTTACCCAAAAGGAGCAGCAGACCTCTCCTGTCTTACCCACTGCTCCCCTTAGCAATGTATTTCAGTAGATCCACCTGTTCTACTCCCCTCTCGTCTCTGGTGAATCCTCTCATCCTCCACACTTCTGGCCTAGATCCCAGTTCTTGTATGCATAAATAAATAAAGTAAATCTTTTAAAAAAAAAAAAAAAAGACCACATACATACATAACTGGTTTTTTGACAATAGTATAAGTCAATATATCGCAAAAGGAAAGTCTTTTCAATACCCAGTGCTAGAATAATATATGCAAATAATAAAAAATAAATTTGGACCCATTTGTATATGATACAATATACAAATATTAACTAAAGGTAAGCCAAGATGCAAATGTAACCCCTAAAATTATAAAGCTCCTAAAAGAAAACTGGAGAAAATCTGTGATTTGGGGTTAGACAAAAGATAACTAAAAGCCCAATGAAAGAATAAGTTGATAATTGAACTTAATCAAAATGAAAGCCTCTGGTGTTCAAAGGAAGCTGTTAAGGGAATAAAATGAAAAAACACAGTTCTGATAAAGGGAGAAAAATCTTAGTTCTGATAAAGGGCTTGTATCCTGAATATATAAAAAATTCTTATAGTTCAACAATAAGAAAATAAATGACACAATTTTAAAATGACAAAAGATAGTCACGTCACCAAAGAATAAGTCTGCATGGCAAATAAGCTGTCATAACTTTAGCTAAGCTAACCTCATTCTGAGGATACAATGAATAACCTCAGAATTCATTGTATGTGATCAGTCTGCAGGGATCAGTTAACTTCCCCAAACAAGCACAAGGTCTAAAAAAAAAAAACAAACATAAAAGAAAAGCTCAGAAGATTGGACTTGGCGACAATACATATAAAAAGAGGATAACAAACGAAATAATAGGTAAGTTGGGCTACATCAAAACTGACATTCTGGACCCTCGCTGGTGGTGCACTGGGTTAAAGTGCAACACTATGAAGCTCTCCAAGGCCACTGCAGCACGAGTTCCATCCCCCGCCAGGGAGGTGACCCACATGGAGTGGCAGACCTCTCCTGTCTCGCCCCCTCAGCAGTGCATTTCAGTGGATCTACCTGTTCTGCTCCCTACTCTGTCTCTGGTGAATCTTCTCACTTCCCACATGTCTGGCCTGTACTCTAGTTCTTGTATGAATAAATAAATAAATCTTAAAAAAAATCAACTAAACATTTCTGTGCATCAAAGGACACATTTAGCAGAGTAAACAGGCAATGGGAGGATGGGATAAAATATTTTCAAAACATATATATCTGACAAGGGGAAATTATTCAGAATCTATAAAGAACTCTTACACGTCAACAAAAACCAAAACCCAATTTTAAAATTAGCAAAGGACCTGAACAGACACTTCTCCAAATATGACAAATGGACAATAAACAACTGAAAAAATATTCAACATCACTGACCATTAGGGAAAGGCAAATCAAAACCACAATGAGATACCACTTTAAAACTATTACACTGGCTATTACCAAAGACCAAAACAACTAGAACCATTGTACAATGGAAGTACAAAATAATGTGGTTGCTATGGAAAGCAATATGGTGGTTCTTCAAAAAATAAAATCTGGGGCCCTCCTTGGTGGCGCAGCAGGTTAAAACACAGCATTAAGCAGTTAAAGCCATTTCCTCATGAGTTTGATACCCGCCTGCCCCAGAGGTGATTGACCCACATGGCATGGCGCGGCAGACCTCTCCTGACCTGCCTGCTGCTCCCCTCAGCCAGCAGTGTGCTTCGTCAGTCTCCCTGTTCATCAGTCTCCCCACTCTGTCTCTGGTGAATTCTCTCACCGCCCCTGCACTTCTGGTCTGTACCCCAGTTCTGTATGAACAAATAAACAAATCTTAAAAAAAAAAATGGAATCATCACTTGATCCAGAGATTTCACTACTACATATATAACAAAAAGAACAGAGCAGGGACTCAAACAGAACCATAGATCCTCACTTAATGTTGGCAATAGGTTTTTGAAAACTGCAACATTAAGGTCAAATGACGAAATTAGGTCCACAAATAATATTCTCTCATTCAATGTTGACCAATGTTATAAGACAACTTAGAATGAAATAACATACTTAGGGACCTGCTCTATTTGTACATCCATACTCACAGCAGCATTATTACAACAGCCCAATTCAAGGAACCCGAAATACAACTGAAAGATGTGATGGACAATTTTCCAGCTTTATATTTGAATAATGTTAACAGTTAACAATTACAAACAGTTATATAATTAAGTTATAGTTACAACATGATGAGCCTTGATGGTCTTAAGCTAAGCAAAATAAAGTAAAAACAAAGGGACAAATATTACATGATTCTACTGATGTGAAGTACAGTAATCAAATTTATAGACAGTAATACAGTAGTGCTTATCAGTGGTTACAAAATGAATGAAGAGTTAATATTTAAAGGTTCAGACTTTTAGTTTGGGATGATAACATTTTCTCGCACTGTAGTGTAGAATCCGTAGACAATTCTTGGAGGAGAGAGGTGATAACTGAACAACAATATGAATGTACTTAATGCCACAGAACTATAAATATATTTAAGAAAAGTTAAGGTAGTAAATTTTATGTTATGTATTTTTTAAAGACAATTTAATGATTAAAACAAAATTCTGTTATATATATTTTATCACAAAAAATAACTGACTTTTAACTTCATACATAAAAAACCTAGTATATTCAAGCCTCTATATATAAAAAATAAAAAATAAAAATGTTGTGTGTAAGTATTGCCTGCTAACCAACTGCACCACTGGAGCATGGTAAAAATGCTGAGAAAAATATAAAAATCAACTACTTCAGGATTTTGGAAAATGAACAAAAGTAGGTAGATTATGGGAGGGAGACAAACATGGAGAAGTAAATTTCTGAAACTTTTGTTCCTTCTGTGGCTCACAGCTTAGCATTAGTACTCATAATACTGCTCCATAAAGGCGCCTATAACTCAAGTGAAAGCCATCTTTTTGGCTTCAGAAACTAGAGAAGAGTTTCCCTGAGGGAGGAAAGTATGGAGTGAGGGAAAACCCAGAAGTAAAAGAGCCAGAGAAGGGGGTACTCTTAATTCTGGGTATGAATTCATACAAGTCACAGTCTAATCATTGAACCATGCTTGGACATATCAATCCCAAACCAGCAGATAAAGTTTAGAAAAACAGGCTGAGAGTCAACCATTGCCTAAAAATACTGAGACAAAATTCACATTCTAAACCTAATTACATTGATTTCTTATTAAACAACATTAGTCTTCTCCAGAGAATTAGAAAAGAACCTACAGTCTATGGTCTTATTACTTCCAAGACTATAATATTATGTCCTTACCTGAGAGAACAATATAACTTTGTGTTTAATTCATGAGGCTATATTATAACTATAATATAAATTATAACAATAATATATTTATGATATAAATTAACAATATTTTATAACCTATAATATAAATTATAAATTATATAAATATAATTGCAATACAAAATAATATATTATTCATTCTTTATGAATAAACACTTTATGAATAAAGTATGTCTCCAATACATTTAAACATATATGAGATAAGTAGCATATTTGTATAAGGAATCATACCTCCAATTATATGTTATTATATTTTCCTACTAAAATGCAAGAATTTTCCCCATATTAACAAATCCCTGGGGAACCATCTAGCAACAAACCATCTAGACTGTATTTTACCTATTATCTATTATTTTCACACTATTGGTCTCAGAAGGACAGGAGAAACACTATACAGTAATGCTACTATGTGGGATAATCTGGTTTTAATATTCATGAAAGATATATAATCCATGTATGATACTCTGTAGTATTTCCAAAAGTCAATATTTATTATATTACTATAATTTTAGAAAGCAATAACCCTAAAAGATGTTATAGAAAAATATATCATTAGATGAAAAATTATCAGAGAAAAATTATTGTAATTTGTTGAAGTATTTAAAAAAATTTAAAAAGTATTAGTGACTTACTGTATTTGTTTAGAAAATACCTGGAAAGATGTATAATATATATATAAAACATTAAAGTGATTCTATCTTAATTACTTAACATTTTGCTTCTCTGAATTTTCCAAATTTTCTATAATAATGTTTTTAAATATGGAAATTGAAAAGTCATTGTTTCAAGGCATAAAAATAAGCAAAAGGGATCAACTTCCCCAATGAACTGTTTTTGTTTCCACTTTTGATCTAAATTGTACATTTCTTGCGAGATACATCATCATTTAGTAGCACTCACCTGTCCAACTGCTTGCAGGTTATAGCAGACAATGTCCTTATTGACTGGGGAAGTTCCATTGAGAAGTGCCTCAGTGAGCCAGCATATTCCCAGGAAGAGGTCAGAGAAACTCAGATAAAAGAGTGGCTTTATCTGTCAAAGCAACAAAAGCTTTGTTTTATATGGATATAGCCAGGAAAAGGTACAACCAATTGTTCTGCTTAACTTTCCTAGTAGAAAACTGGGCATAGTTTTTCTGGAACCTCTGCCATTTGTTTACTCTGAGAATGTAAAGAAATATTCCAGGTAGGAAAGAATCTATAATTACAACTATCCCAAGTGTCCTGCAATAGGAGTATTCATAAGCAAATCAGTATTAAACCTTCTTCCTCAGAGACTCTTTTCAGGTACAGAATCAAAGAAGGAATGAGCTGATGAGAAATTTTTGATGGCAGGAGACACCCCACAACCAGCAAAGTGGTTCTAGCTGCACAGCTAGCACCTCTCAAAATAGGAAATGAGATCATCCACCGAATATTGACGGATATGGCTGAGAACTTAACCGATAACGAGCTTTTCTTAATATAGTTTAGTTAGCTATGTTTTATGATTATAGCTTAATTTCTTTAAGAGATATAATTGACAAGTACAATTGTTGGATATTTAATATGTACAAGGTCATAATGTGTGAAACAAACACTGCAATTTTTTTCCATCAAGTGAATTAATCTATACATTACCTTGCATTTTTTTCTTTTTTTGTACTTCTTTTTTTTGTTAGAACATTTAAGTTCTATTCTCTCAGCAAATTTCAATGATACAATATAGTGTTATCATTGTCACCATTACATTATTCATTACACATATCACATACATTAGCTCCTCAGACTTACTCACCTTGAAACATAGGTTTCCATATCAAAGAGAAGTCAGAGTGGATAAGTATCAGTATTAACAGTGCTTGTTTATTTCTGACACATTGGTCAAATGTGTCTTTCTTGCTTTCTAATGTCCTTCTTTTTTTGGCCTCCTTGCCCTCACTTCTCTAAAAACAATTTTGGTATATCTCATTCTCATGTATTGTAAGACTCAATATTATAAAAATGTCATTTCTCCATACATTGGTAGTATAGATTAAATTAAATCTCAGCTACATCTCAGATTTTCTTATGGAATTTGACGTTGATTTTAAATCTGTATTTATATAAAATTTTATACAAAATTTCAAGATAACCAAGACATTTTGAAGAAAAAGGAGAACTTGCCTTACATGTACTGAAACTTAATATAAAGTTGGATACTAGAGATAGGATACTGGCACACGGGTGGACAAATAGATGAAAGGAACACAATAAAAAGCCAAGCCTATATACAAATAAATCAAGTATATATAGACTTTTGATATAAGCTAGAGGCAGCTATTGGACCAATGAAGAAAGAAGTCTTTTCAAAATATGATGCTAGAACAATTCAGTATCCATATAGATAAAAATGAAGGTGGACCTCCTAATTTCTACCTTACATATATAAAGATCAGTCCTATCTAGTTTAAAGACTTAAATGTAAAAGGCAAAAATTACTATAAAGGATTTTGTATAGACAAGCTAGGAGAATGTCTTCAAATTCTAGTTCAGAAAAGTTTTCAAAATTGAAGAGCTCTAAAAGAAACAATTTAAAAATTTAACCACATTAAAACAAAAAGTTCCTTTGTCAAAACATACTATAAAGAAAATGAAAAGACAAGCCATAAAGTGAGATTTCTGCAACACATTTAACTGACAAAGTACCACTATCCATATATATCATGAAGTGTATCTAATATATTAAAAGTAAGCACAAACAGGCCCTCCCTGGTGGCGCAGTGGGTTAAAGCACAGCACTGAGAAGCTTAAGCCACTTCCGCATGAGTTTGATTTCCGCCTGCCCCGGAGTGACCACATGGCGTGGCAGACCCCTCCTGACCCCGCCCGCTGCTCCCCTCAGCAGTGTACTTCGTCGATCTGCCTGTTTTGCACCCCAGTCTGTCTCTGGTGAAGCCTCTCACCCTCCGCATCTCTGGCCTGTACCCCAGTTCTATATGAATAAATAAATCTTTAAAAAATAAATAAATAAAATAAAATAAAAAAGTAAGCACAAACAAAACCTCTTACAAAGCAGTAAGAAAAACCAACAGGAAAATAATGAACAGATAATAAGAAAAAGTTAAATCCAAATAGCCACAAACATATGAAAATAAGCTTGACTTCAATAGTAATCAAGAAAATTAAAACTATTATAAGAAAAGAACTATACACCTATGCCAACAATTTTAAACGACGACAATATCAAAAAGTAATGGGAACATGAACTAACCATTTGAAAAAAGTTTGGTATTATCTAGGCTATCACATATCCTATAGCAATTATGTTATTAGGTAAATACATAAAAGAAAATATTGCACACTTGTGCCATCAAACATATATATATAGATTTGCTGGGCCCCCCTGGTGGCGCAAGGGTTAAAGCACAGCACTAAGAAGCTAAAGCCACTTCTGCAGGAGTTTGATCCCTGCCTGCCCTGGGGCTGACTCACAAATGGCACAACAGACCTCTCAGTCTCTGCCTGCTGCTCCCCTTAGCAGTGTACTTTGTCAATATGCCTGTTCTGCTCCCCACTATGTCTCTGGTGAATCCTCTCACCGACCCTGCACCTCTGGCCTGTACCCCAGTTCTTTATGAATAAATAAATAAATCCAAAAAAAAAAAAAAATGCAAACAGCCAGTCAAAAAATGGGCAGAAGAGCTAGAAAGACACTTCTCCAGAAAGGAAATGTAAAAGGCCAACAGGCATATGAAAAAGTGCTCAACATCACTTATAATCAATGAAATGCATTATCAAAACTGCAATGAGATGCCAGCTCACACTGTGAGGATGGCTCCTATCAAAAAGCTGTAAACAACAAATTCTGACAATGATGTCAGAAGAAAAAAGGAACCATCCTACACTACTGCTGGGAATGCAAAATGGTCCAACCACTATGGAAAGCTGCTCAAACTACTGAAAATGTATCTACCATATATGACCCAGAGACTCCTAGTAATCTACCCAAACACACAAAAACATTATTTCAAAAGGAAACCTGCATTCCTATATTTACTGCAGCACTATTTATAATAGGTAAGCTGTGGAAACAACCCAAATGCCTCAAAACAGATGACTGGATCAAAAAAGATGTGGTCTATATGGAATACTATTCAACAACCAAAAAAGATAAACTCATGTCATTCATAGCAACATGGATGGAGCTAGAAGGGAGGGCTCATGACCAGAAAAATAAGCCAGAATTGGAAATAAAAAATATTGAATGGTTTCACTTATAGGAGGAATATAGGGGAACCAGATAAGGGACTGGGGGGGGGGAGGGGAACTAGCCGGCAACCATAAATAAGAGACATTCTGCGAGGGAAGGAGAGGAAAAGGGCTAAAAAGCAGGAGAGAAGGAGCACAAGGCACTAGGGTGAAGGTTCACTGATGAACTGGTGGTGGGACTTTTATGGGGAATACACAACTAGGTAAAAGATAAATTAAAAAAAGAAAAAGGATGTGGTATATATACACAAAGTAAGAACACTCAGTGATCAAAAAAGATAAACTTGTGCCATCTGCAGCAACATGATAGAGCTAGAAGAGATTATGCTCCATGCAGTCAGTCGGAAGGAAAAGTAAAAGAAACAGATGGTTTCACTTATAAGTGGAATATAGGGGAAAAAGCACAAAGGGTCAACAAAAAGGCAAAACTTGCAGACAGACTATAGATCCAAGACATACAGCAGGGGGAGGGGAATGAGAAGGCTCAAAAAGAGGATAGCCAAGAGTTCCAGGGACTGTGGCGATGGTTCATAGGTGATGTGGAGATGGGACCACATCTGAGGGGTGAAATCAAATATTGTACCAAAGTGAACAACAATGTAAGAAAATAAAAAATAAAAGAAAAAATTTTAAAAAAAGAAGTTTGTTTTCACTCATAGATAGAAAACCATTGGTTCCAGTAGCAGGAGATAAAGTTCATTGATACAAAAACTAATTGAGTACCTTTACCGGAATCAAGAAAAATTTCACTCCTCCTATGCTTAAGGCAATACAAAGAAATGTGTGACACAGTCCTGTTTTAAAGAAAATACAGTCAATACAAATCCTTGGTAATAATAAAGACACAAAAAAGAATCGAACAAGGTCCTCAATATGAAAGCAAAAACTCTTTTTAAAAACTACACACACGTATTGATTTGCATGTATCTATATATACACTTTTATTTAGATCAAGAGCAGACTGGGAAGCACTGGTGAAGGACATCTCAGGAGGTTCTGAGTCCAGGTCTATCTGGGGAGGTGAAAGACCTAAAACTATTCATGAATACTCTTCTAAAATCCTACTTCTCAGTATTTCTGCTTAAGTGAAACAGAGTTACAAAGAATTTCAAAAGTGACCTTTACAAGGAAATAAAGTCTCGCCAGCCCAGTGAAGTGTATCTGCCTCAAGTTCGATTTTTTAAAAATAATATACCAGTTTATTTTTACATCATTTTGTGCATTTTTCCATCTCAGTTGTAATCCCTGTGGGCTTCCTATCATCAAAGTTCTATTTTTTTAACACTGGCTAACCTGGGCTACTTTTTTCTCTCTTCTGGTTGCCTAAGTCATTGTCTACTCAGCCAGTTTCCTTATAGATTTTTCAGGGATTTCTCCAATTTACCACGATTATTTTTAATAACATTTTTGTCATTTTCAGAGTATACCTTCCATGTGTTTTTGCTATTAGAAATGTTCTTTGATGAAGAAGTCAAGGAAAACACAGAGCACTGCTAACAGTTTTAACCTAGAAATACCGTCTTTCATAGGCCAAGGAAACAAAATACATGGGGCCACTGAACTAAATAATTGCTAAGGTCCTTTATACCCTGATGACTGAAAGATGTGTGAACTAAAGCCAGAGAAATTAAATGTCATATCCTAAGTCAAACCAGACCCTACAGCTTTAAAAATTGTTAAAGTCACTGTCTTGCCAGATGTCACCTGAGAGCAGTGCATCTCAACCAGGAGCAATTATACACCCTCCACCCCAGATATATGCCAATATTCAAAGGTATTTTTGGTTGTCACAATTTGGGGATGAGGAGGAGGTTGCTACAAGTATCTAATGGATGAAGTTTGTTAAACATCCCAAAGGAAGAAACTATGAGGGAATTGGTTGAGCAACCAGAAGAGAGAAAAAAAGGTAAGAGCTGGACTTTTGAAACTCCATGCTCTGCTACTTACTGTATAACTTGAAACAGTTACTTAGTGAGTTTGAGCCTCCATTTCCTTATCTGTGAATGAGACTAGTAACATCCTTCACACAGGCTCATGATGAAAATCAATGATAAAGTATATGAAGCATGAAGCATAGGTAGAAGACAGTAACTGTTCATTACCAGTTTTTGTTGTTAAAGTGGGACTAAAAGTACCCAAATATATTTTCTCTATATTAAATATTCCCATACATATCCTGAACTACATTTCACCCTATTTTGCACATTTATTCTTAAAGACAATTATATATTCCTCTTAAAAATCTTCAGTGATGAGACTACCAGAAGGTGAGGGTGGGGAGCTCAGGGGGGAAGGGACTCAGTGGACTGTAGTAAAGGATTATGAGTGCTTTGATGATGGACGTGGTGTGGTAGCAAGCATCTGAAGGGATGTGAACCTATACCTCTAAATTACAGACAGTGTTGTTAGCCGATGTTACCTCAAAAAAAACTTATAATACATAAATAATTAAAAAATATATTTACTGAGCTAGTAAACATACCAGTATGTGATATTCCCCAAAGTAGGAAAAAATTTTTATTTGATATCTTGGTATGGATAATTTTACATAAGGTGTATTTTTGCTGTTTTTACCATTAAATTGTAATTGCATAGATGGTCAGAACAGCAAAACAAACATCTTTTGTTTAGCAAAGTCTTTGAACTATTTCCCAATCTCACTATGCAATTATATCATAATATATACATCAGATAACTCACTTCCCATGTTTAGTATAAATATAGGCTTCAAGCAACACTGTTTTCTTAGGTTTAATGATGCATACCTTAAAAAAATCCATGTTTAGGAGCTTCCCTACGACCCAGCAATCCCACTCCTAGGTATCTACCCAAAAGACACAAAAACACTGATTGAAAAAGATACTTGTACCCCCATGTTTATTGCTGCTTTATTTACAATTGGAAAAACATGGAAGCAGCCCAAATGCCCAAAAGTAGATGACTGGATTAGGAAGATGTGGTACATATATACAATGGAATATTACTCAGCAACCAAAAAAGAGAAACACATGTCTTTTGCAGCAACTTGGATGGAGCTGGAAAAGATCATGCTGAGTGAGATAAGCCAGAAAGAGAAAGAAAAATACCGGATGGTTTCACTCATAGCAGGAGTATAATGGACCAGGCGAGAAAATAACAAAAAGAATGAACAACCATAGACCAGAGACATTCTGTGGGGATGGAGTGGGGAATGGGATCAAAAACGGGGGGAGGGGAAGGGAGGGAAATGCACGGGACTATGGTGGTGGCACAGGGGTGATTTGGTGATGGGAAACCCATGGGGATTACAATTGAGATGAAAAAAAAATGTGAAAAATGATGTAAAAATAAACTTTTTAATAAAAAAAAAAAAAAATCCATGTTTAGCAGTCGATCTTTCCGGTTTTGAAATTATAATTAAAATAACTAGATGAAAAGGGAGACCTAGTGACATTGTCTAAAATAGCTTAACATATCATAATTATAAATTTACAAGTAATTTACACAATTATTCAATCAGTTGACACCTCTGTTATTTATTTCAAAGGTTAAGTCACTAAAAGCTTAAATCCAACACAAAATGATTGTGCTTACCTCTGGAGATTTCTGTATATTCTGGAACACAGCATAGGCAATAAGGGAACTTGAACCTATAACACTGACAGAAATACAAAGATGATCATTAAAATAGGACAACTGCGGTTCCTTCATTTTTGCTACTGATTTTTCTTATAATAAACATAAAATAATTTTTAAAAAATGAACAGTTTCATGAATTTGGAGGTTGTCCTGATGTGGAACCTGTGCTAGGCTTCTGTGCATTGTTTCCTGCTTTATTTTATATGCTGCTAAAGTGAGCATTTGCTATTGACTTCGCAAGTCAAACGTGTTGACCAAATTGTCCTTTATTTTCAGATGTTGCCCCTCAATCTGTTGTTTGTTGTTATTATCATTAATGCTGTTACATTTTATTAATCAGAAAATATCCACATGCTAAAAAAGAAAAAAAAGAAAGCATTTTTCTCTAACTAAAGAGTTAGAGAAACAATCCCCAGGGAAAAGAAGTAGAAAATTCCAGTTTTGCTTATACTAGATTAATCATGTTACATGAAATTAAATAAACTTACCTGAGAGTAGTCATAACAAATTGTATCCACTGTATTGCAGAAAAAAACTAAAAGGAGAGAGAAAAAAATTAAACCTTTTATATTTAAAATTCAACCTTACTCCAATTTCACTGTTTATTAACTATCTGCGGTACAGGCTCTTCTTTAATGCCTAATCCAAACACACCACAAGTTTGAGGAAAAGTAGAAAGACTAAACAGACCCTTGGAAAGACAGGTGGCTCTTTTTTCCCCTTCTCTATTGCTATGTCTCTGGGAAACAATAAAATAAAAGGAAAACAGAAGTGGGTAGCAAATAACCAAATAAAAAAGAGTTGAATGAGACAATAAAGGAAAGCATAAAATGATAAAGCAAGAAAATTAGACTACTGAGAGAATAGATGTGTGGAAAGAATAAATAACAGGAAAAGTGACAGAGACCTAGACAAAAGGAAAACTAGAATAGTAAACAATAGAAAAATAGAAAGGAAAATAGTGCAGAGACATGGTAAGTAAAAAACATATAGAACAGGAAGGAAGAAAGAGGGAGCAAAAAGGATGACAAGGGCAGTTTGTCATCTCACCAAGTCCCAGTTTTCCCCCAAAGCACTAGCCTCCAATAGGAAGGCCATAGGGAGTCCAGTCCCAGTTTTGATTAAGCTGTCCAGACCACCGCCAGGTTCTGAAACGGAAGCAGTGAACAGGTAGCTCCACCCCTGTCCCAGCTGGGTTTCTCCCTACCCAATCCTGTCCTGTGTCTTGAGGGCAAGGAGAGAAGGTGGTGACTAGTGGAAGAGAAAGCCAAGCAGAAAGATCAAAACAGAAAGAGCAGGTAACAAGGAGAGAAAGTTATAAAAAGCATTAGAAATTTTGAGGCGTAAGAAACAGGAAGAATAAAATGTAAAGAGAATGGTCATATGAAAAGATAAAAGTTGCAAGAGAGAAAAACAGAACAGAACAAAGAGAACAATGGGGAAGAAAGCAAGTCTGTTTAATAACAAAAGCTTTAATGGGAAAGAGATTGCAAATTCACACAATCAACATTTTTATATACTAAGAAAAAATTGTGAAGATAAGGAATGACTAGTATCTGTCATATTTATTTAACACGAACATCTTAAATATTCTGTATCAAAAATTTCTATCAGAAATACTATATTATTAAATTACATAATTCATTGAATATACTTATGTCTATGTACCAGCTTTATATAGAACATGTTATGGAAGATATAAAGACAAATAAGATACAGATTCAAGAACTACTATATATAGTGTGGTAGGAAACATTACCTGAATACCAAAATCTCAAGTGATCTACACACAAAAATAATATACACTGACTAACATTTAGACAGAAGAACTGGCAAAATTTAGACAGACAGGGAAGGAAAAAGCAAAAGGAAGAACATTTCATATATGTAGCCATTTATCTTTCATATAATCATACTTTCAGACACTTAAGATAGCAAATTAAGATGATTTGTGTGGCTTAAGAAATTTAAACCTCCAATGAGGTTAAGAAATCAGAGTGAAGTTGAAGACCAGATATTGTTAAGCAGAGACAAGCACTAATCATTTTGCTTAAATGCATAAATAAAATGCTAGCAAACTTCTAGATCAGAAATTCCTGTTATAAGATTTTAGGGAGAGTTTTGTGGCCTCTTCAGATACCTATATAATAAGGGTGAGGAGACTAGTGACAGTCTGACTAAATGATAGTAGAATGCTTTTAGACAAAGGACACTTGTCTCAGTCAAGAACAAATCTCAAATTGTTCAGAGAACAACCAGGCTAAATCAGTCTGTTGCTCATAAGAGGAAAACTTTTCTCTTTTGGCATCTCTTCTAAAATGTTTTATGCCACTGACCAACATTTGGGGATTTGCTTATTTCCATTTTTCTCTTTAAATTAGTCTCTTGCCTTCTACATCCAGCACTGATAAAGTATCTTGGAGATAAAATCTTCCCATCTGCCTTTTCTATAAGGGCTAGTTCAAACCCAAATGGGTGAGATTTATTTTCAGTTTCTCTTCTTTTTTTACTTAGCTCTTACACCTAAGCTCAAACATGTCCCAGCTCTCCTTTAATGTAATGGATGAGAATATATTATATGTAACTTAAGTTAACATAGTTGCTAGACTTCTACCATGATTAAGTCACTGTATTGGATACACAGTAAAAAAAGAAACCCACTTCTAAGAACTTAAATACTGAATTAAGCCTTTCAGTAAGAGGTCATTTCATAGATGACTTAAAAAAGTTAACTCAGGGCCCTCCCTGGTGGCCCAGTGGGTTAAAGCACAGCACTAAGAAGCTTAAGCCACTTCAGCATGAGTTCGAGCCCCGCCTGCTCCGGAGGTGACCACAGGGCGCGGCAGACCTCTCCTGACCCGCCCGCTGCCCCCCTCAGCAGTGTGCTTCGTCGATCTGCCTGTTCTGCTCCCCACTCTGTCTCTGGTGAATCCTCTCACCCTCTGCATCCCTGGCCTGTACCCCAGTTCTGTACAAATAAATAAATAAATAAATCTTTTTTAAAAAAAAAATTAACTCAGGTGCTATCATACAGTACCAAGTTATAATGCCAACTTAGTCTCAGTTCATGGCTCTCCCTCTTAACACCCACAGTGTTTTAATCAGAACCAATTAATGGGAAAATAGGGAAAGCTAAATTTTAAAATTAAAGTGACATCAAATGAGCTCTTTTATTGGGCAAATGCTTCTCAGATGACAATAAAAGCAGAAGCAACAAATGAAAAATATAAACTGATCTTCAAAATTAAATACTTATGAGCATTAAAGTATACCATCTAGAAACTGAATAGAATACCCACATTATGGAAGAAAATACCTGTAAAACATATACCTAAAAAGAGACTTAGATAGACTGTATAAAGAATTACAACTCAATAAAAAGACAACCCAATTTAAAAATGGAGCAAGATTTTAAGTAGATACTTCCCCCTAAAATACACAAATGACTAATAATCATATGAAAAGATGATCAACTTCATAAGTCATAGGGAAATATAATTTAAATAACAATAGATACTTTTTCATGCCTACCAGAATAGCTATGATAAAAAAAAGTAGAAAATGTACAGAAAGAGTGATCCTCATATACTGGTGGTAGAAATGTAAAACATTTTAGTCACTTTGACAGTCCTTTAAAAGATGAGGCATATATTATTCAACTCAGCTTCTAAGTATAAATCCAGTTCTATAACTAGTTATATAACTAAGATAAATGAAAATGTGTCAACATAAAAATCTGAACACAAATGTCCACACATTCTTATTTATAACAAAACAAAAAGTAAAAAATAAGCCAAATGGGAAATGGGGTAAATAAAATCTAGTATATCCATACAGTAGAATAACATTCAACAATTAAAAGGAAAGAAAAGCTATAATGTGGACAAACCTCAAAAATATTACACCAACTGAAAGAAGTCAGTTACTAAAGCCCATACATTGTATACTTCCATTCATATGAAATAAGGAAATCTATAGAGACAGAAAATAGAGTAGTGGTTGCCCAGGACTAGGACAGTAGTTTCAGAGGGGATGGAGAACACAGCTAACAGGCACAGGGTTTCTTTTAGGGTGACAAAAATATTATAAAATTAGATGGTAATGTTGGTTACACAGCTATGAATATAGTAAAAACCACTGAACCACTGTACCCTTTAAAAGGATGAATTGTATGGTAGGTGAATTACATTTAACAAAGCTATTGCCAGAAAGATGAAATTTGGGACAAAAACCAGGGAAGAAATGTCCAAAGCTGAAATTCATGTTGTAATGATTCATGGATAACATGTTTCCTACTCCTACTGAAAAGAACAATATTTAGAATAAATAAACAATTATAAAAGGAAACTGAAGATACAGGTTATACAAGAACACCTGACTATTCTAAATGAATCTGCCACTCCTGGCCTGAACAAATTATGCTCCAGCTTTGATAAAACTTGCAGGTTTTTCCTAACAAAGAAAACACAAAAAAAGAAAACTTCAGACCAATCTCCCTAATGAACACCGATGCAAAAATCCTCAACAAAATCTTAGCTAACAGAA